CCACTTTCTAAATGTTAAGCCAGTGCAATGAACCTTCCCAGTGTGAGCTGTGGCAACGTTTATCGAACTTGTTTCCCGTGCCAGGTGGAGGGCGAGCCACAGGTAATGCCCCTCTTTTAGCCCGTCGTGTGGTGTATGTAGATAAATTTCCCCCCTTTTTCACGTGGTGTGAGCTGTATATGTAGTGTGAAGGCATTAATTCCACTCGTCTAATCCTCTGTGAGGTGGACGACGAAGTAAATTCCCAACTCTCGCTTCCTGTGAGGTGCAGAGACAGGTAAATCCCCCCCAACTCATTTCCCTTCTCACCTGTCTCTGAAGTGAACGGTGTGATGAATGACGTTTCCATCTCCACCAACGCTTTTGTCTCCTTGAACTCCTCCATCTGCAAGATCCTGCGACGCCCCTACGGATTCCTGGCGACAGACGGAAGCCGAGTTCCCAGTGAGGAAATCCTTCCCTCCCGAGGTCCTCCCTGCCTCCGATTCCTTGACCTGATCACGGTTCTCCTTCTCGTCCAGGATCTCCGCCCTTACCTCTGGTCCTGCCACCTTGCCCAGGAATCCCCCCCGACCATACTGGGAAAGCCTCGTGTCCCTGTGTGTCCCATCGAGCGAGATATTGGAGAGGAAAGTGAGCGCCGCGAGCCTCCTCCGAGAGCGCTGCCTCTGCATCACCGTCGCCATCTTCACTGAGGGAGGAGAGGGAGACCCGTCAGCTGATCGCGCCGCCTAGAACGTATCCAGTTGACACGACCTTTTTTTTTTTTCTTTTTTTTTTGTCGGAGGGGGGTGGGGCTGCGTGAGCGTACTAGGTGTTTTCTTTGGCGATTTTTTATAATTATCCTTGTATATTAGTGTTGATTGGCTTATTTCCTTCGCGCTGTTTATAACGTATCAATGAGGTTTGCCACCATCTTTTATTTCTTTTATTTGTCTATTCTTCTTCTGCCGGGTGAGTATCTTATTTTTTTCTTGGATAACTGTTTATGATCAGATAACTGGTATTGACTGGAACATTTGTTTCTCATAGCGTTGTATGGCACTGTAGTAGAATCATCCTCGATGAAAAGTTACGGTATTTCTAACCTATATATTGTAAATGGGCCTTTTTATTCTAAACTGTAATAGGGCAACTAAATAAAATAATCTGTATTAAAAGGAATTGTACGAAACATGTAAATCATGTCGAAATGTATAAGGCAGATCCTGTCGTACTTTGTGACCCTTGAGAGAATGAATACATTCTAGCTTGAGAAATCAGCTGATCGCCGTGCACCTGAAATAATGCGAGTTTTATTTTCGCGTTTGGAAATATGTTGTATACAATTCCCCAGTTATGATCATAAATATATCAAACGATGCCAATTAACATTTCCATTTTATACATATCAAATTCATCACGATCTGATTTTTAGTATACGAAGAAATGTCACTGTTTAAATTCCCACCAAATGAGGTGGCAGAGCGCATGGCAATGTTTTGAAACAGAAAAAAAAGGTTTATCAGCGTGATAAGTCGTCTGGAAGACTACTACGCATTTACTATGACTCATTACTATGCTGATAATACTAAGGGTAAAACTTGCTGCTAAGGGCAATGACTACCATTAAGGAATTTTGCAATGTTTACGTGTCATTTTTATTTATATTGTACAAATAACAATTTTGTATAAATTATTACAAATTCTACTGTAAAATGATCATGCACTGATAATAACTTCTTCTTAATACAAAGAAGTTCCTGAGCTGGTTAATTATCATAAATATTAACGGTATTTGAATGGCAGGGTTGTCGGCGTCCACATCGATTTGCGTTATATAATGCTGCCGGGTGTAGGGGGGGGAGGGGAGGAGGGAGAGGAAGGGAGGGGGGTATGGGCGCCAAATTTCAAACAAGTTGAAGGTTGACGATGGAGAAGACCTTGGGATTATAATGAATTAGAGAAGGGCAGTGTTTGGTTGGTTCATATTTATCTTGTATGCAATGTCAAGGCTTTATTACTTGTATTCGTAGTAGCAGTGATGGCCACAGTATATCTTCCCCTTGTTATTTTGATGCTGTCTTTATTAGTTGTATTTTTAATTTCACTTTCAGTATCATATGGAATAAGATAAGAATAATACGAAATATTTCATAAATAAGCTTAGTCACTAGCCTGCGTGCACTATTTATAACTCAACGAAAACATTTTGGCTGTCATTATTATCATTGTAAGCTTTTGAAGGTCACTTCCGGGTTTAACTAGTGCAAACCCGGGAACCCCCGATACTTTTATAAAATCCTTGTCAATATTGAGGAACAAGAGTTGTGTGTAACGGCGTGCACAGCTGCACGTATGCGCATTTGTATGGCTTCTTTACGCCGGCAACTGATTCACAACTAGGATATTTCCGAAGATGATACTCAAATCGTCACGATTTTCGCCCAGCATGTCATGAAAATTCTAGAAAATCCATGAGAACGGATTGACTTGTTCCTGTGGCGTTGTTCTCAGATAATAATGAAAATGATATTTCATTACATCGGTACCAAAACTCACACTGTTTTATGCATTAGTTATTAAGCGGTTGATTTACATGTATGCGAGTATATTATCAGCGTATAAGCAATGATTAACTTCAAACAGGCTCGACCTTGCACAAGCAAGTTGCTAAGCTTCGAACTTCAGCTCAAGTTTTTGCTCTGTAGCTTTGGTTGTGTCATGTAACATCTAGTGCCACTAAATTCTGCCAAATAGGAAGGATCAGTTCTATGTAGAGCAATCTCTCTCTCTCTCTCTCTCTCTCTCTCTCTCTCTCTCTCTCTCTCTCTCTCTCTCTCTCTCTCTCTCTCTCTGTCTCTCTCTCTCTCTCTCTCTCTCTCTCTCTCTCTCTCTTCCTCTCTCCCTTGCTCTCGCTCTCTCACTCTCTCTGTGCCACGAACATGCACACACACACACACACATATCTATATATGTGTGTGGGTGTGTCTATACAAATGCATATGTATAAAAATGGAAACACACACACACACACACACACACACACACACACACACACACACACACACACACACACATACACACACACACACACACATACACACACACACACACACACACACACACACATACATATATATATATATATATATATATATATATATATATATATATATATATATACATATCTATAAATGCACATGTGTATATATATATGTGTATATATAGAGAGATAGATAGATAGATATAAATATAGATAGATAGACAGACAAATACATATAAATGCAGATCAATACATATGCATACGTGTGTGTGTTTGCAAGTGCATGTGTGTGTACAGACCCTGATTATGTATATAAGTATTCAGATGTGTAGAAATATCCACACACATGTATAAAGCAAGTCTATCCAGAGCATACACTTCTTATCTGATGTTTCTGTTAGAATTTAGAAGAGGAAGAAATTTCGCAAAACACTTGTATCCTGAGCACGAAGACTGAAAAACAACCACTGTTTGCTTAATATCTCTTGCTTAAGCGTGTGTATTTACGGTGTCATTTTAACCTTGGAAGAATTCAACTTTCTACTGTTTTATCAAGGGTATGGGAGCAGTCTAACAGTCCTTTGTCAGTGTTAAGCGCTTGGTAACGATGTTTATTCGATGACTCTCATCTCTCTCTCTCTTCTCTGTTTCCCTCGCTCTCTCTCTCCCTCCCTCCCTCCCTCACAGGATACATTTTAAAATTACTGTCCTGTGCAATAAGGTAGACCCAGTAAGTTACATTCGCTCTCCATCTTACTTCAGGTCGAGTTCCCATTGCAGCGCGGGCAGCAAGAGCGCAGCAGACAAGAAACAGATCGATATTGAAATTCAAGCGCGCACGTTGGCACTTGCTATAGAATTAGCGCTGAGCTGTATCGACCTGCACAGCACAGCTGGTTGCTGAATATTCATTCATTGTGGTGTTATATGTACGTTGCATTCCGGTGATGCGTTTCTGCATCCTATTGCGAAAATTTCATCTGAAAGTTAACTTAGTCTGATCCAAATTCTCCCGTGTATATTAATCGTCTCCGTATATTTATCCTCTCGTCCTAAATTCTTGTCATTGCAGATGTTTACACATAACTGTCAAAAGTATCCGTTTATGACATTTCGCTATATCGCTTACAACGAACGAATGACTGCCTTACAATATGCCTTTCATAGCTTATCTCTCTTGCACTACGCTCCCTGCTCCGTGACTGTCGTTTGCTGGCCTGTTCTGTGTTATACTGGGCGTCTGACCTTGGGCTCTCCGTGTATAAGATTTCGAACTGTTGTGAAGTGCAGAGTCGTAAATGGCATTAACACCATTATATATTACAAAGGCGTTACAAATGTGCCCAAGTTACTACGTGACTATTGGGCTATGAGCTCTTTAGGCTTCATATTAGCTTGTAATCAATCATATGATAGGCCTACACAATGAAGCCTAGTAATCGAAATCTGTCGGGTCTTATTTCTATATCCTTTTGTGTTCTTCCATTTCATTAAACCCCCACTTTCTTACCGACGTGTTAATACCAGAGCAAATTTGTTTAATTCAGAGCTTAAATCTCTGTTTCCTTATTTGGGAGGCAGTGCAGAGGTAATCGGCCGTTGTGGCGAGGTTATGATCGAGGCTAACAAACTGCTCTTACTCAGTCACTGTTCTTATATAACTGTCGATTTATGAGTTTCGACATGTCGCAGATACCCAATTTACTCTTCTGCCATTTTTTTTTATCTATTCCTTTCGTGTCTTCTTTCTTCTGTTTTATCTTTTTTTTTCCTCCCTTCATCAGTTCGATTCGGACATTCGTACATCGTCATTTCTCATTTCTCTGTATTTTCTATATGTATTCATATCTATGTGATTTTCCAAATCTATCTGTCTGTTGGATTTATGAATATCTGCAAAATCCATGTCTTTTACAAATACTCAAAAACTTGAATTGAAAGATCAAATCAACTTAACCAGAATGAAATCTAAGACGCAGTATGCATAAACCTAAAGTGTTTAATCAGTTCTGAATTTTATTATCCGCCTTGAGATACGTAAAAAGATAACACAGATAACAGAATGCACCTGCATGAACCTTTTATATAACACAGGTATTGTATATAAGGCAATGTTGTACAAAAACCGGTCTAACATAGATCTCTTACAAAACATTTCCAGTAGCTTGGCATGTTATTACTGACATACTTAACAAACGTTTTAATTCTAATATCAGTGAGCCTTTGTTTCCCTGAAAATTATCTCTAAAGCGAACCAAGCATTCATTGTAGTATAAGTTAATTAAGTTAAGGAAATTTGCCTTTGATAGTGGTGTGTGTGTGTGTGTGTGTGTGTGTGTGTGTGTGTGTGTGTGTGTGTGTGTGTGTGTGTGTGTGTGTGTGTGTGTGTGTGTGTGTGTGTGTGTGTGTGTGTGTGTGTGTGTGTGTGTGTGTGTGTGTGTGTGTGTGTGTGTGTGTGTGTGTGTGTGTGTGTGTGTGTGTGTGTGTGTGTGTGTGTGTGTGTGTGTGTGTGTGTGTGTGTGTGTGTGTGTGTGTGTGTGTGTGTGTGTGTGTGTGTGTGTGTGTGTGTGTGTGTGTGTGTGTGTGTGTGTGTGTGTGTGTGTGTGTGTGTGTGTGTGTGTGTGTGTGTGTGTGTGTGTGTGTGTGTGTGTGTGTGTGTGTGTGTGTGTGTGTGTGTGTGTGTG